CTTTCCACAATGGTTGTACCATTTTACAGTCCCACCAGCAGTGTATGAGAGTCTATATGGGTATTTTTGTAGCACAAATACACATGTAAGAATATCATTGGCCAAATCTATCTATGGTCATAGCTATATTTCCATTTGCCTACCCACACCTGATCTTCTCACCTGTCTGTGCATTTACCCATAAACTAGTGTTTGTTGTTATTGATAATGTAGTATTGTGCATGTAGTAGTATTTGCCTCAGTTCTCTATACCTTTTGTGCACCTCTCTGTGTCCTCCTTTTCCCTATTGTTATTGTGCTGTTCACATACTTTTGTTATATTGTCTTTCCCTTCACCCAAATCAGTATGACTCTTAATTAGTCAGACCTTTTCCCTTCACTTCCCTCCCATCCCTAGAAACTAACAAAGTAAATTTCCTTCCTGTGTAAACCTTTCCTTGACTTAAAAAAAATCTTATTTATTTATTACTTTTATTGTGGTGAGAACATATACAATTAGACATGCGCCAACATAACAACCTCCCCATTTACAGCTCAGGGATGTTGATATTTTTATGTTGTGCTACCATTATTGCTATCCTTTTCCAAAATATTCCCCCACCATCAGCATAAACTCAGTGGCCCACAAACAAAAATTTCCCCTTTCCTCCTCCCTCCTACCCCTGGTAACCACTAATAATCTTTTATACACATACACACACACACACACAAATTTTGTTCTACATCCTACTTTGGTGAGTAGCAACTGGGGTTGCGAAAGCTGTCAAGTGGCCATTTAAGACACAACTGTGTGTGTGTGTGTGTGTGTGTGTGTGTATTTATTTATTTATTTCCCCTCCAACCTATCTAGGAATTTAGCCTCCCCCCCCTCATCCCTGGTAACCACCAAAGAAAGTTTCCTTCCTTTGTTGGTTACTAGGGATGAGAGGGGAGGGGATAAGTGTATAAACTTTTACTGACTTTTTACAATAGTGGACTAATATTTGTCCTTCTGCAATTGACAAATTTCACTCAGCATAATGTCCTTCAAGTTCATCCATGTTGTGTGGTATTTTGCTGATTCTACATTATTCTTTAATGTTGCATAGTAATTCACCATGTGAATGTACTATAGTTTGGTTATCCATTCATCTGTTGATTGGCACTTAGGCTGTTTCCATCTCTTTGCTATAGTGAATAGTGCTGTGATGAACATGGGTGTACCTATGTCTGTTCATGTCCTGGATCCCTCTTTAGTGTATATTCCTAGTAGTCTCAAGCCATTTTTGGACTAGCTTGGAAGTCAGCCCTACTCAAACCATGTGTCCTGGTTACCTAGTGCCTCTTTGACAAGAATATACCACAGATGGCATGGCCTTAACAAACAGGAGTTTATTCTTACAATTTGGAGGCTAGAAGTCTGAGTTCAAAGTGCCAGGCTCTAGGGGCTGTGTGAAAGCCCCTTGACCTTGGGCTTCAACTCTGCCTCTTGCTCCCAGCCCACTGAAGCTAGAGGCATCTCTTCACTCAGGTAGCTACTGGCTGCTGAGGCTAACAAGCCAAGGTCAACAAATAAAATGGCACAGTCCTGATGTTACCAAACAACATGGCAGGCCATTGATTCAAGTCCATTGAAAGTCCCAAGATCGGCAGAGCATGGCAGGCTGTTGAATAGCAACTTGGCTATATTCGGGGTTCAGGTGTACAATAAGCTAGAGACCATTTGCCAAGGCTTCTCCTTATATACAGGAAGCAGACCACAGCCCGAACGCAGCTATTCAGCTGCTCACAGTAGATTCCCCCATGGAGCTGATTACTAGTCTCATCACAGGGAATACTACATCTAGCTGCCCAGCCACTCAACCAGGCCCAGCCAAGTTGACACACAAACTGAACTACCACACCATGTAAGCCCTAGTCTACCCCCTAAAATGCCCCTTCCACAGAAAGCCTTATTCTGAGTAATAAACTTTTTAATACCCTCAGTTCATCATTTTCAATATCCAAACCAAATTTTGGGTGGGTGGGGCACCCTGTCACTACAGGGTGTTCACAACAAATGGGACTGGAAACACTAGCCCTTTATCCTTATGGGGACCGAGACAACTAAGGCAGGAAGGATGTAGTCATTCCCTTTTTCTTTTTTCTTTTTATCTGTCACCATAAATATAATTCCATTTGAAAGCACTATATTCATGGCCATTTTTAACACATGGTTCTCCTCCACTAATGTGCCAAGGCAAGTTTAAAATTTAATATGATTTTTAATTTAAAAGTACAGAAGTGTTAGCTTATTTTACCTTACGTTTTTTGCTCCTGAGCATCTCCTGCATCCTTCTGGGGTTTGGGAATCTTTTCTTGTCCCAGGTGAAGTACCTCTTGCCCTTAGTATGCTCTATGTCCAGCCACATGACGTCGTAAGGAATGTCATGTTTATCAAATCCTGCATCCACTGCTCTTACATCCTGCTCATCCTCATAGTTCCAGCGGCACTGATGGTACCCCAGGGAGAACAGAGGGGGCATGGCTTGTGTACCTAAAAGGGGAAGATGACAACTGAGCCAACTACCACTACAATGATCACTGTTCATTCAATAATCCTTTTCTGAATGCTAACTAGGTAGGCACTCTAAGCACTGAGCCTGGTACTAAGAATATTGAGGAGAAAAAAGAACAATCCTTGTCCTCAAGGAAGTGACATTTGGGTGTCATGAGGCACTAACAGCTTTCAGAGATAAAATATAGATCATATGAAAGGGAATAGAAGCCAGACTGATTCTGGAGAAAGAAGACAGAAAACAGAGAAATGCCTTGAAATTCTAAGGGGAAATAATTTTTAATCTAGCTTGCCAAATTACCAATTAAGAGTGAAGACAGAAAAGAGATTTTCATACCTGTAGTAACTCAAAAAATATGTTTCCCATGCACACTTTCTTAGGGAATTGCCAGAAGATGCTTCAAAACCAAAACAAGGGAATAAACCACAAAAGAGAAAACCACAGGACCCAAGAAAGGAGGGATCCCACATGGGAAGACAGCAAAGGTAAGTCCTAGAATGACAGCAAGTGGAAGACCTAGCAAGACATATATGCAGGGAGTCTAGGTAGTAAGAAGTGGACAGAGGGACTCAGGAGGGAACTCTCCAGTGGGAATAAAATGGACAAAGTATCTGATGAGTTTGAGCATATGAAAAATGCAAATAATGAATAATGATTTAACAAAAACTTATAGTATAACTATACTGGGAGGAAGGGGAAAGACAGATACGATTGTGCTTAATCCTCATCAGGAGATTTAGATGATCTAAATCTCTAGATTTATACATTGGGTTTTGTTGAACATGGTGATAGCTCCAGTGTTTTTGAAGCATTTTCCCATAAATCAGAATCATTCTCTCCCAACAGCAGCGTTGGAAGGACCTGCAGCTGGCACTGCCCTTGACAGTATTTATTCTTGTATGGGTGTTTTCCCATATTCACAAATTCTTTGTCATTCCTCCCATCAAATGGTGGGATTTAATTCCTCTCCCTTTGAATGTGGGCTTCTAATAATAGAATGCAGCTGAAGTGATGCTGCATTACTTTTGAGGCTAAATTAGAAAAAGTGATATATAGGCATATATATTCCCCACTCTGTGAAATCTCTGGTAAGGAGAGAGTAGTGTAATCTGTTCATTAAGTTTGAACTAAAGATACCTATGGTAGTCTTCTGAATCATGTAAACAACATAAAGCTTTTTTTTTTTTTTTCCCTTCCTAAGAGATGTGTGAGAATAAAAGAACTTTAATGGTTTATTTTATTTAAAAATAACTTGCTCTAATTAATTCATTGAACTCAATGAAATAGTGTTTGTCTTTTATATCTTTTAGAGATAAAATGCTTGATTGCTAAAGCCCGTGGTATATTTTAATGAAGAGAACATTGAAAAGTTTGGGTTGAGATATTGGTCATCTGAGATAAAGGTAAAGAAAATTCAGGAGCTAAAGGCTGTAACTACCACCCATCTGTCAGTTTGTCATACTGTGGTGGCTAATGTGTTATTGCCACCAATATTTCAATTAACAGCAGGGTCACCATGGCAAACAGGTTTCAGCAGAGAGTCCACACTAAAACAGACTAGGAAGAAAGGACTGGCAATCTACTTCCAAAAATTAGCTGATGAAAACTTTATGGATCACAACAGAGCACTGTCTAACTCATTTGCTTTGGATACATCATCATGAGCAATTAATTACTGGGGAGGCATCATATTTGATGAAGTAGAGGGGCAGCAAGGATAAGGGAGCTCCTCAGTAAGGTGGACAGGCACAATAGCCACACTGATGGATGTGAACATGCTGGCAATCCTAGGGATAACACAGGACCAGGCTACGTTTTGCTCTGTTGTCCATAAGGTTGTCATAGGTTGGAGTCAACTTGACAGAAGCTATCTATCTAAAGGCTCCAAGGAAAGCAAATGGCAAATATTAAGCATTACAGTGTTCTAGACTCAGGGTCGTGTTTGACCAAGCTGAATGGGATGAAGGTGAGAGCAGGAATGCTTGCTTTTAAAAAGCTCAATTGTTTATAAATTCTATATGGTGTGTAACAAATATTAAAGTATAGTGGTGATACATAAGATGGAAGATGGAACGTCTATGTTATTGTTGTTATGTGCCATCGAGTCAGACCTGACTCATAGTGACCCCTCCTTGGGTTTCTGAGGCAGTATCATTATGGAATTAGATTGCCCAATCTTCCTTCCAAGGAGTGGCTGGTGGGTTTGAACTGCCAGCCTTCTGGTTAGCAGTCAAGTGCCTTAGGCACTATGCTACCAGAGCTCCCAATGGAATGTTTATATATATATATGCAAATACCTGTAAGATATGAGTATTGCTTGAAGACATCAAAAGGTGTAGGTCCTGTCAGCAGAAAGACATCAATGACTCCACTCTCTGACATCCAGTGCACATCAGTTCGAGATCTGACCTTTCTTTGAGCATCACCTAAGCCCATCTGGGTCAGTGTGTAATGGGGAAGGAATGGAATGAAAAGCTGAAAAATTTCCCTCTCACTCAGAACACCCATACATATGTGAGTAACAGTCTGTAATCATTAGTAGATATGATTGGCATTCACTAATTATATTGCAAAGTCTTTGGTGGCAGTATACAAAGTCAAGAGCCATGACAACACTGCACAGTTATCTCCTGTGTAAATGTGGCACACAGCCCTGATTCATAGCTCACCTCTACTGGAGGCTCTGTATTGACCTCCACTAGTGTTTCTGAGGCATTCAGCCAGAAAATGCCTAGAGTTCTGCCCAGTTTGTGTGCCAGAAGATAGGGCACTGAACCATAAATACCCATTTTGTTATGTATCTTATATCCATAGACATCCAGGTTATAAAGACGGTAAGCATCTCCATCACTGAAACACAAATAAGGATTATCATTAATTATCACCACCAATAAATCATTAATAAGTGAAAAGCTCCACTCTCCCCTGTAAATACTTAGGTCATGGCATCTTGCAAGGCTCAACTCTCACCACTTCTGTAAAGATATTCACCACTTCCCTAAAGGTATCCTGACCCAACCTTGGTAACTGTGATCTTCCTCTGACTTATATGACACTTCCTCACGTGACAATTAATGGACATGATCACAGATCTTAGATCTCTCTCTCTCTCTCTCTTTTTTTTTTTTTTTACTATATATTGTGAGGAGAGGACTGTTTCCTGCAAATACTCCATTATAACAACAAGCACACGATATCTATCTGCTGACAAATTTTGTGATTACTTCTCTGCAGATAAAGTGTGGAAAGATGGTATCCTAATGGGCTTGCACCGTGCTGAATAGGGGAAGATCAGGAACTGAACTGGGTGGGGGCACAGAGCTCGGGTTGTTGTGAGAGTGGCATGGCTCAGTGCAACATCTCCCCTAGGTGTTTTTTTTTTTTTTTTTTAATTTTATTGAAATATAATTTATTTACAGTGAAATATACAAAACTAAAGTGGCATGGGTCAATGCAATTTTTTTTTTGCAGTGTTCCCTCTCCCCCCAGGTTTTTGATATGCTTGTCACAATGCCTACCTGTCAAGCCCCTGAACCCGGCAACTTTGATTGGACTAGTTCTCTTTTGCTCCTGAGGAAGGCTCCCTTCGAGTCTCTGATGCCTCTGACATCTATCTTTCAACAATGAACCTGAAACAATCTCCCTAAGGGAATCAAAGGTGGTATGAGATGCCACACTTTCCTAGTCTCTTGCTTACTGCCCTTTTGCTAAACGCCTTTTTGTAGGTCAGTGATTTTCACACTGAATTCTCTCAGGGCTCCACAAAAAGGTTTTGAGAAGGTGAACAGGTAGTGGTATGGTGAAGACCCCACCCCTACTTCAATCAGAGCAGTTCCTTATTTTTGCTTTTGCTTTATTTTTAGGCTCAGCATTACCGTTTTTTGAATTGCCTACTTTTTGCCAAAAAATACAATAAACTTTGAAAAATACCGCTCTGAGTGATCATTCAAAGAAGGTTCTAAACGATCCACAAGCAGTATCAAGGAGGTGAAGGCCGTGGACATGTTAGTATTGGTTTAGACATCTCACATATGTTTCTTTCAAGCTTTTTCAATCTAGAAACTAGAACTGTAGGAATTCTTATTTTCACTTTACCCAGTATTTTTCAGTTGGTGTGATTCTGCATGTTGTGGGATCCCGTAGAGATGCTCAAATCCATGCAAGGAGAAATCCAAACCAATGGAGGCAGGACCTGTACAGACAGCATCCTAACTGAGTTTTGTTTCTCAGTGGGACAATCAATTAAAAAGAGATTAAATAAACTATGAGTATAGCAAGATGACGGGAGCTCTGGTAGCATAATGGCTAAGGCACTTGACTGCTAACCAGAAGGCTGGCGGTTCAAACCCACCAGCCACTCCTCAGAAGGAAGATAGGGCAATCTACTTCCATAGTGATACTGCCTCAGAAACCCAAGGAGGGGTCACTATGAGTCGGGTCCGACTCGACGGAACACAACAACAACAACATAGCAAGATGACTAGACTAGGGGTTGAGAAACCTGAGCTTGCCCTGATCAATCACCAAATGCTGTGTGCTGACATTTCTAAGATGTTATATTAAGGTGGTGTAGGGTGAAACAAAACTTCCTAAGGCAACATTCTGTAACTTACTAGTTACGTTTCCTAGCTATGTGCTGAAGTTATTTTTGTCCTCATTTATCATTAGTAGGCTTTCTATCTGTAAAATGTGGTTACATATTCTTTCCTTCTAATCAAAATTTTCCTAAAATGTATTGCATTACTTCTTTGCTTTAGGAAGTAAAGTATACTGAACAACTTTCATCTGGATGAAAACTGAATGACTGAGTGTCTTCAGCCTGATTGCATCTTCTTTGTATTAGCCTTCTCTGGAGGTAAAGGTGGTTACTCCCTTCAAGGACTGTACTTTCAAGGGCACCAGGAGGACCTTTCCTAGCTCCTCAAAATACTTCCTCCCTGTGATTGTAGATATATGAAATTCTTTAATCAAAGATAAAGACCTTTATTTAACAATTATTTTAGAGATACAGGGAAAATGCAAATAACAGAAAATAACTGACTCAAATTCACTCTTTGGTAAAAGTATTTGATTTCATATGGTCCTTAATTATAGAGTTTGCAGAAAAGAGATGTTACAGAGAAGGCAAAAAAGATTATATTACTAAAAGGAGAGCCTGAGGATCCCCCTACTTAAAAATCTTGGGCCTGTTGTCAGCCCTGATTATTATACTATGCTTTAGATATAGATACACAAAAGGGATTTTCAAAGAGTTAAAACAAAATAAAACAAAAACCTCACTGCCTGCACTTGAGTTGATTCGACTCATAGACTCATAGTGACCCGTCCTTGGGCTTCTGAGGCAGTATCTCAATGGAAGTAGATTTTCCAGTTTTCCTTCTGAGGAGTGGCTTGTGGGTTTGAAGCACCAGCCTTCTGGTTAGCAGTCAAATGCCTTAGGCACTACGCCACCACAGCTCCCATTCAAGGAGCTAACAAAAAACAAACACAACACATTGCCACTGAGTCGGATCTGACTCATAGAAACCCTTCCTTGGGTTTCCGACAGCATCACTACGGAAGTAGATTGCCCCATCTTCCTTCCGAGGAGTGGCTGGTGGGTTTGAACTGCCAGCCTTCTGGTTAGCAGTCAAGTGCCTTAAGTACTACACTACCAGAGTGCCTCCTTAGGCACTAGGGGTGATTTATTGTTCCATGGGCTAGGGAGGAGAAAGGAGAAAACTGAGTACTTTTTCCAACTAGTTAAGTCTCAAAAATCTGAAAAGGGCTTCTTACAGATAAACTCTTCCCCTCCCACCTGTCACTAACTTAGTGAGAAACGTTACACATAGGAAAGAGCTCCTCCCACCAATGGTGGGGAGGCTGGGAAAGGGTTGAGATGCATTGGTCTGGAATGTTGTAGCTGATGAGCTCTAAAACTTGATTTTTTTGTGACTCGACTCATAAAAATGAAATGTGGAATCTGTAGCTCCCTGATCTATTGGACAATACAAACATTATGCTGACCTACATGTCTCCCTGAGAACATATGCTCCAGGAGGCCTATACTCCTCTTAGACTCCCCACAAAAGACCTATAATTACCATTTCTTTGTTGCAATACATTACTGAAGGATAACTAAACTCACTGCCGTTGAGTCATATCTGACTCATAGCAACCCCTTTTTGGGTTTCCAAGACGGTATCACTAAGGATATAGATTGCCTAACCTTCCGAGGAGTGGCTGATGGATTTGAACCACCAGCCTTCTGGTTAGCAGCCAGATGCCTTAGGCACTATGCCACCAGAGGACCCAAATCTGTTCACTTTACAGAAATCACTTGCTTGGGTACTGTTCTAGGTACCTAATGCCGCTCTGACAAGAATATACCACAAATAGGATGGCCTTAACAAACAGGAGTTTATTCTCTTACAGTTTGGAGGCTTTAAGTCCAAGTTCAAAGTGCCATAAACTAGAGACTATCCCCAAGGCTTCTCCTTATATACAGGAAGCAGACCACATTCCAAAGGCAGCTACTCAGCTGCTTGTGGTAGATCCCACCATGGAGCTGAATGCCAGTCTCTTCATGGGGAATAACTACCACCAGCTGCCCAGCCACTCAACCAGGTCCAGCCAAGCTGACACACAAACATAACCACCACAGGTACCAAAGCTCAAAGGACTTCAAGATAGAAACATTTAGCCATTTTGGAAAGATCTATTTCATACTATACCAGTTTCAATTTACCATTAGTTTTGATATCTACAAAATTTCTGAATTTCTCCTTCCATAGGCCCATATCATCTTGATTTTCCTGCTGGTACAAAAAAGGGAGCAATTTCAATTTATAAATTGCAACAAACATAGTAACCATAACAGCACATTTTACTTGGATTATCAAAAAACACGAATGAAAAATTAGTTCATCTTTTAGAAGACCAGTTTGTGATGTCAGTCCATTTACCATATAAATTTGAACAATCTTTATGAACCACAGCTGATAGGAATATCTTTACCAAAATGATGTGAAAGCAGTTTGAAAAGTACAATCATTAAAAAAAAAGAAAAAAAAAAAAAACCTCACTGCTGTCGAGTTGGTTCCGACTCATAGTAACCCCTTCTTGAATTTCCGAGGCAGTATCTTTATGAGTCGGGGCCGACTCGACGGCACATAACAACAACAACAACAATCTTTATGGAAGTAGACTGTCCAGTCTTCCTTCCGAGGAGTGGCTGG